TGTGTCGCTCCGGCACGGCGCGGGCCGAGAGCGGAGGGGGCAGAGGGACGCGGCCGACTGCGCTTTCGTTATGTATCTCTGTATTTATGCCTTTTGCTCCTTGGAGAAGGTGTTTAGTTAGAGTAGCCGTTGTTGTACCTGCTCCATGGATGCTGCCTTCGGCCTTGGTACAGCCGTGGGGTTATGCTGACCTCAGACCTAAAAAACCCTAAAGCCAATAAAATTCCCAGCCGGAGCTGCGGGCTGTGTGGGTTTCGCTGTCCCTTGGCTGTGTTTCACGACAGTGAGGTGTCAGTGTGACCTGCTGGAGTGTTGTGTGTTGGCATGGTAGTTGTGCCAGCTAGGGAAAATACTGCCTTGGCTCTTGGTGTGTTCGTCAGGTGAGCCTTGGAGTGGAGTGGAGCCTCAGAGTGCCTGAGGAGAGAGTAGTTTGATACACATCCACTCCCTAGTGTGGATGCAGAGAGTTCTTACTGTTTATTTCAGTATAAAATTCCTTGTGCTTGTAGCTGCTTTGGTGTCAATCAGTGTATTGCACATACGTACTAATTTGAATAAAAATCTAAAGAAGAGGCCTAAAATGTGGGCTTACTGTGCTCTCATTGCTTCCTTGACACAAGAGTTTAAAGACTAGTCAAAACTTCCATAGACATATCCATATGACTGTAAAATAGGTGGATTTTCCAAGTGTAGGAACTGCAGTCTCTACATCCCAAGCTGGTGTGTGTGTGTGTGTTTACATGTTTCCTCCTGGTGAGTGTGTCTCGCCTCGCTGGCTAGTGGCTGTGCCTGGCAGTCTTACAGTGGAGGGAGGGGAGAAAAACCCAAATATGTTAACAAGCAAGTTTCAAAGTTGTGTTATGCATAGTGAAAATTTAGGTTCCAGCTAATTAGACTGGCAGAAGATTTCTGGCAAAAAGGAGAAAATATTTATGGCTTACTTTGTTTTGCTCTGGTATGCTCTTTACAAATTTATTTATTAATTGAGGCTTAAATTATTATGGGTCATAGAAGTTGATTTGTGTGGGATATTTGCCAGTTTAAGAACTTAAAATTTGCTTGAAAGCTTTTGGGGAATGTGAGCAATGGATGTTACTGCAAGCATTGGTGGGAAGACGATGTCCACAGAGGGCTTAGTTTAATACTGCGTTAGAGTATAAGTTTGAAATCTGTCTAAAGAAGTGAGAGATTTCTGTTTGTTGTTTTGGTAGTGTTGTGCTGTTGTTTTTTGTTTTAACTTTGTTTTGTGTTTAATTTCAGGGAAGGCTCTGGCAGAAGGTGGATCAGCTCGGACATCACTTCTTATTTTAGTGTCCATCTTCTTATCAGCTGCTTTCCTCATGTTCCTGGTATATAAAAATTTCCCACAGCTTAGCGAGTAAGTATATCAGGGAAGGTTAATTCATTCGCTTTTCAGTATCAAATCGTAGAGTTAATTATAGACATAGCCTGAAATAAATTGGAGTGTAGAAACTATGTGTCAGGATACAGAGTTCAATGCTGAGGCACTGACCAGCAGGATCTGTCTAAAGAGAGTTGTACTTGGCATCATGTTTCTGGTGCACAGCTGAGATACTGTTTTGAAGTGTTGCCCCCTGTGTAATTAGCAGTGGTAACTCAGTTATGAACCCTCTTCAGCTGAGAGCCAGGATGTGCCTGGTTGGGGCTGCGTTCATTTTAGCGTTCCTTGTGCACCGGTGTAACTGGAGGCTGTCACCAAAAGGGGAAATCCTTCTTCCTTCTTGTCTGAGCTTCACATTCTCTTTTTCTCCTTTTTGTTGCATCCAGTACTTGTCTTGGGAATGGAGGCAGGTTGGCAGGATGGAAACCTGTTTGTCTGACTCCTTTCTTTTTCCCTTTTAAGTAGTTAATTTTCTGTCTGACTAACCTGCTCAACAAGTTCAGTTTGCACCAGTCCAGTCCCTCAGTGTGGTACAGAGGAAGCGAAGACACTCAGCTGCTGCCCAGGGTTGCACCAGATTAAGGTGTGACAGGAGATTTTGCCCTTGAGGCTTTATTTGTTTGCAAGGTGAAGTTCTGTCACTGCACTTCAAGTGTTACGACCCCAGTGCTTAAGACCTGCTGTTGGGTTTGGCTGCAGTGCTGACTGCTGTCAGCTGCCAAGGTTTGGTGTGTGTGATAGTTCCTTTTTGTTCAGTACCTGGTAAGAAAAAATGAAATCCTAGAAAAGAAGCAGATTATTGTACTGAATTTTAAAAAAAAAAGGTTGCAAATATCTAAAATTGGGGATTTTCCAATAAAAACCACCCTGTAAACATGGAGTGTTCATCTGAGAACATTATCCCAACAATAATCATGGTTTGTGTGCTGAGCATGGAGTTTGGTGATGTAGACCTCTAGATTCAGTAAGTAATTGTGCTATAC